AGTAATCTATGCTGCATCTCCTGAGAAGACATGTTCTTGGTTCAGGCTGACATCTTGACAGAACTAGGACAGGAACTAGGCTGTGTGATGCAAGGCCCATCTGTTTCACCTCATCCCTTGGGCACTCAGGTCTACAGACTGTCACCATCTCGCTGGACAAGTTCCCAGCAGGCAGTGTTCTTCTGTGCACCATAACCCAAGTGGTCCCACAGCAGAAGGACTTCTGCAGCATCTCCGAAAACTTTGGGACTTCAGGGCCAAGGCAGATGCCAGACAGAGCTGGCTCCAGAGCGTCTGAGGTGGATCCTCTTTCATCATTGCGTTTGTCACTGTGCAGCCCATGTGTGAGGATCACTTTTTAGAAAGGCATAAAACTGTGATTCTCACTCAGATATAAACCAAACACATGCTAAACACCTCACTCAACATTACCAAGAAAGCCAGGAAGATATAGTTCAGAGGGGAGTCCTAGTAACAGACACATGGATGGATCAGGAAGTCAAAGAGGAAAGCCAGAAAGAATGTGTGTATCGACAGGCAAGAATTGTTTTACTCTGCTATCAGGTCTCTACACTTTTATAGATTTGTGAAATAGTTCACAAGCTGTAAAATGCGAGGCTCAGTGTGGAAAGGTGTGTACTAGATCAGAGGTCAGCAAGCTTCTGTTACCAAGCGACAGAGGGAGATATTTTAGGCCAGCTCGCCTTAGCTTCAGCCACTCAGCTCTGTCCTTGATGTATGAAAGTAGCTATATTTACTCTGTTAACCAATGAGAATAATTGTGTTCCAGTACACATTCCATTATGGACACTGAAATTCATCACCAAATAATACTCAGTTTTCTCAACCTTTAGAAATGAAGGGGCCAGGGAAATAGCTCAGTAGAATAAGCGCTTGCCTGGCAAGCGCAGGGTCCTGAGTTCAAACCCTGGTACCACAAAAAAAAAAAAAAAGAAAAGAAAACTGAGGGCTGGGGAAATAGTTCAGTGGTCTGAGAGCCTGCCTGGCAAGCACAATGACCTGAGTTTGATCCCAGCACCTCATACTGTGCCTCATCCCAAACCACGTGTGGTGGTGCACACATGTAATCCCAGTGCTGGGTTGGCTGAGACAGAAGGATCACTACAAGTCCGAACTGTGTAGCAAGATCCTGTATCAGAAAGGAAGGAAGGAAAGAGGGAAAATTGTTCCTTGGGTAAATACAAAAACAGGTGGATGCTGGATTTCCCACAGAAGCAGCAGTTAGCAAACTCCTGCTCAAATCAAAAATCCTTCATTGGAGCACAAATTTTCCTCTTGTCCCCTGTTGCATGGCAGTCAGAATAATGGTCCCCTAAAGATATCCATGCCCCAATCCCTAAAGTCTGCATGTATTCTATATTACAGGGCAGGGAGGATGAAGACTGCTATTCAGATGACCCTGATGAGCCCAACGTAATCCCAAGGGTTCTTAAATGAGAACGAGGTTGACCAAAGACTCAGAGGGAGGCGGCATTAGGAAGAAGACTCGGCCACCCGCCGCTGGCTCTCAAGATGGAAGAGGCACAAACCAAACAGGCATCCTGAGAAGCCGGAAGAGGGAAGCAAATGGCTTCTCCCCTTGAAATCCACAATAAACACAGCCCGCCAGCACCTTGATTTCAGCCCAACAGAACACTTTTTGGACTTCTGACCTCCAGAATTATAGGAGAATTAACTTGTGTGTGTTGTCGGGAATCGAACCCAGGACCTTGTGTATGCTGAGCACACACTCCTACCACTGAGCTGCATCACTGGCCCGACTGTGTTTAGGCCACCAACTTTGTGACAGTTTGTTACAGCCACAGCAGGAAATAAATGCACTCCTACTGAATAAAAAGTAGTCTCAAAGAAGGGCCTGAGTTCAATCCCCAGTTCTGCCAAAAAAAAGTAGTCTCAAAGAAAGGTTATTCTGGATCACGAAATAAGGCCGGTCTCTTTAGGTTTGGCTGAATTATATATGTAAGTTTAGCAAGAACATTAATTTATCACATAAAACCTATAAATTTGCTGAAAAATTTAAGGTTTTTTAGTTTAGATGAGTTCTCTTTTTTTTCCCATAATTTTATTGAGAAACAGGGCCAAGGAGATGACTCAGTGGAATGAGTGCTTCCCTGACAAGCGCAAAGGCCCGAGTTCAATCCCCGGTTCTGCAAAAAAAAAAAAAAAA